TTGGTCCTTTTATGTACTTAGGTACGTTTGTTAATGGCGACTCTATCCTCTCTAGTTTGCATGGCTCTTCAGCAACAAAGTTTATATGAGTGGACCCCTTCTTAAAATGCATGATTTTAAATGCTAGGATTGCATACATGAAAAGCATGGTTTCATGATTTACATTTCATGAAGGATTTACGAACTATTGCTTTTACGCCTTTCAAGATATTATGGATTTGTGAATATGGTTTATGATATGATGATTTGAGCTAGAATGCTCATATGGATTTATGATATGATGCTTGAGCTTTTGAGCTTCGATGATTTGATATGAAAAATGTGATTTATGTTTTCTGTGCTTATTTAGTAGGTAATCATACAACACATACACACAACACGAGTACGTACCTATATATAGCCATATGACACAGTTGATGAGTAGTGAGATTTATGACATACTCCCATCTTCGTTGGAAAAACCAGTGTCGGATAGTTTCACTAGCAACAACTAGCGTCGATGTGTTATGTACCTTTTCTTCTCTGGCGTAACCCAGAGTCGTACAGCTTCACATTCGGGTGATGGCGCCTACCATATTTCTTCACTAGCGTAATCCAGTGTCGTACAGCTTCACCCTTGGGTGATGGTTATGCCTTCGGGCGACTATGATACCCCTAGTTAAGTACACTATCTTATGCTTTACGAAGGTTTTATGGATTTGCCTTCGGCCGACTATGTTACCACTCTTGAGCACTGTTTTATATATACATGTTTTACAATGGTTTTATGGCATGTTAGGGTTTTCAGATAAACCTACTAGGTTGTACTATATTGGGTTATCAAAATAGGGGGTTATGTTCAAACGAAAAATGGTTTTACAGCTGTTTATTTTCATAGTAGAGCAAATGTTGTTTTTTTTTAAAAAGCACAACAATACTAAATTAGCCTATAAACAAAAAAGAAAATAAGGCATAGTAGTATAGTAGTATTAGTAGTATTAGTGAAACCTAAATATGCTAGTGCTTACTAATCTTTATATATAAAGCCAACAACTCATTTTGGGGTCACAAGCTTGACCAAAAAGTTTTGGACAAAAATGTTCCCAAAACAAAAAATTTCAAAAGCAACCCAAAATAATGCACCAAATAATGTATGGGTATTTTCATCATTTTAACAATTTTTTAAAAATAATTAATTCTTTTTATACAGTTTTTTTTTTTAATTAGTACATCACAATAGGTTAGCAATAATGTGATTCAATTAGTTGTTCATTAAATATTATTTTCTCTATTTTAAACACGTTCAAAATATCTTAAAAGGCGTTTAATGCTGGTTATAAAAAGGACTTTCGCACTTGCATAATAATGTGATTAAATTAGTTATCAAATGATTAGTTTTTTTTTAAACAAACGATATTATCTAAACTAAGGGGGAGGGGGCAGGCTTAGCCTCACAATAGGCTAGCAAAAATGTGATTCAATCAGTTGTTTATTAAATACTATTTTCTTTATTCTTAATGTAAATTCAATAGAATGTAGATGGAAATTGAAAGACCAATTTTATTATGTAAATTCAGCTACTTTGATTGGTTTGTGGGGGGTTTTTTTAGCATGATCTATGATTATTCATTTACTTCAAGCATTTGACTTTCCTTTTGTTAATTCACGCATATAAATACATTTAAATCGTGTAATTCATACATAGCACACTGTGATTAAAAAAATATCTTCTGCCCGCACTTGAAGGCTAGTTGTAGATAATGGCATCCATGCTTTGACATTTCAGCTTTCATACCCCATTTTATCATGACCAAATCTACTACTGATGCAATGCAACATCAGCTTCCACTTGGCCAATATTTTCCTACCTGAGTGATCAGCTTGTAAAAACCATGTCATATGACATATCACGGATTTGGATCTCATTCGGATTCAAGTTGTGGGAATCTTAGGGATCTTTGTCGTGAGGTTAAAAATTATTTTGAATTTATTTATTTAAAATTAAACATAAATAGTATCTAACGAAAACTAATCACACAATATACAATAAATGACCATAATGTGAAGATTCTTAAAATTCTCGACTATCCTCATCCATATATCACAACTTCAGTCAACTGAGCATTCTACTACTCATGCAATATCAAACATCTTCGTGGACTTTATTGTGGCCCATTGATTGGTCACGGTCTAAACCTCCAGGTCAGATCGTGCGACGTAGACTGATAAAGATAAATGTGTGATTGTGATATTGCTAGAAGATTAGATAGTGAGTTAGTTTGTTAGGATATTGTGAAACGGATAAATACCTTCTCACCGTGCTTTCGTAATTGCTAAGAAATCAATACAAGAAAACTTTCATATCTTCTCCTCTTTCTCTCTGAACCTCTCGAACCTCTCCTTCTTCATACTTTCACCTGCTACATTAACAGAGACCTCATTGGAATACCGGACTAAATAATGGATTAGTTCTAATTTGGTGACAACTGAGGATAAATTTTGTCCTAATTTGTTTCGTGGTGGGTTAAAAGCATCAATCAGTGGGCCATATAGCACGACCATTTGAATGGTAAGTTGATAAAAATAATGTATGTGTTGTTTTAGGTCGTAACCATCGACACCAAATGTCCAAGTGCAGTGGTGGACTCGCCTACCACTTTTAAATATACAAAGGTGTTTGAACTTGCCACGACATTTTTCGCTTGGTTGAGTTTTCATGGGGTACATGTCACATTCATCAACTATGTACATTTTTTTTTTCAAAGGCATCTTCATCCGCTAATTTCAACCATGTGTGTTCTAGATATGTTGGATCAGTTATGAATGACCACAATCCCACATGTTGACCATGACTGGAAGGCACTCATTCTTCAATCACAGGAGTTATTCTCACTCATGTCCGTCGCCAGCCAAACGGAGCTGCTCACTGGCTTGCACGTTTTGCTCTTCTATCAGCTCAAATTGTAATTGAGATCGCGTTCCTCCCGACCTGATTTCAGATATTTTGTTTGAAGATCTATCATGTAATTTGCTACTCTTTTGAAATAATAATCTATCGCCTTTTCATAAATTTAAAAAAAAAATTGTTTTATGAAATTACGTTGTTATCCTTAACTAATTTTGTTGTGATAGCAAACACAAATATATTTTCATCAACTGACAAAGAGAGTTTCATTAATGTGTAGTTTAGATAATTTTAAAGAATATTTAAATTGGAATCCATAATAATAACAAAAATTAAAAAAAAATTTGGTGACTGAAAACTCCACTTTTATTGAATAATAATTGATAAGATAACACACTTAAATGTCATATTTATACCACTTAGTACTACGGTCTAGTGATATTCCTCTATATTTGTAAGTGAGAAGTTTTAAATTCGATTTTCGCTACAGACGAATTTGAACCACATTATTACTAGCCTATTGTGAGCCTAAACTCACATGCTCTCCCTTAATATAGATAATATTGTTTTTTTTTTTTTTTAAAAAGGTCATATTTATAACACCTCTTAGGCCTAGAAATTCTTTGAAGTCTAAATACGAATAAAATTAAACAAATTACAAAACATCAAAACGTCCTTAAAACTTAAAAAGCCCATACATCATTGCAAGGCGATGAGTTTCATGTGCATTGCTAGTCTCTTTAAAACAATAGGTAACGGGTCAAATCGGACACCTACAGTTCAAATCTACAAAGGTTTATTCCTTCTACTTGATTTTGTGCCTTTCGAATCCTCAGTCTATTTCGTGATTAATCTACATCAGTCTAATCTCCTTCTCCTACACTTAATTGGTGAGACTTCTTTTAATCTGGTTCATTCATATTATATATCATGTCTTCATTTTTTCCTTCGTTTTTTTTTTTTTTTCAGTTTGAATAGATTGGAGGAGGGCTGACAACTAAAAAGTACTCTCAATTTAATAAACAAGAAGTCAAAATGATTTGATGAAAATCGAGGGTATTTTTGTCATTTTATTCTTATTTAATGGAGATTTTTTCACGGAATGACCAAATTAATAGTGGACAAATTCATGGACCAAAATGATGAGTCATGCTAATCTCAGGAACCATTTTAGCTACAAAACCTTACTATAAACAAAGTTTAGTTTGAACTTGCAGAATTCCATGCTGTGCCATTTTTCGCTTCGATGGAAACAATTAGAGTGATTCTAGGTAGACCAACTTTTTAGATCAAATTTACAAATTATGTGATGTCACCAATAGAAAATAAGCATAGTAATCCATAGAAGTGGTCCTTGAGTTTGCCACCATCAATCATTTTAGTTATTATGTGAAAATTTTTGTTAAATAAGGACCAAAATAATAGAAATGATTTGATGAAAATTAAGGGTATTTTTATCATTTTATCCTTATTTAATTGAGATTTTTTAAGAAATGAGCAAAATGATTTGAAAAGTAATTTGATAAAGAAAATGTATGTGTTGTTAAGTAGTAAACCCCCAAAGCCACCAAATGTCCAAGTGCAGACTGGTGGAATAACTATATGTATATAACCAAAGTTTAGTCAAAATTGCACAATTCCATGCCGCGCCATTTTTCACTTAGATGGAAATATTTTATGTACTGAATTCACATAATTGATATTTAAACGGGGTACCTGTCACATTGATCATTAAACTATACATATTAATTTCGTCGCTATTTTACTTGTTCTCAAGGACATTTTATGAACGACCGCAATCTCAATGGTAGTAGATAAGATAATGCAGACCCATAAGTTCTTAGAAGTCTAAGTAAGACTAAAATTAACAAGTGAAGAACGAAGACTTGTATAAGGGATGCGATATCCACACACCTCATTTTACTTCTCACATATCTTTTTAATTTTCGGTCGTCGGATCGGATGAATTGAAGAAGATCAACAGACATAAATTATTAAGGGGTGTGTGAGAAGTAAAATGAGATGTGTGGATAGCAACCCCTTGTATAATAAAGGAAAGTGACAGATGCATTTATGCCTAGTATCTTCAGCGGCCTAGCGAGCATCTATATAAGGAAATAAGATCACAGCAAATCTACGCCACTGCATTGCGGGTAAGGAGTTGTTGGAAATAGCTTCAAAACCAAAGGCAATATTGTGGTCTCGGGTAAATCTTGTATCTTCTATGATTTATTTTTGCTCTAAATTTCAAGTCTTTTTTGTTTTCACTAACAATACAATCCGATATATTCAATAAACATGTTATCGTTGTTATGCTCTCTAAACTATTTTAATATGGTAAAGTGTCTTGTAATTTAATCGGTTAAGAGTATTTCCTAGCAGTTTAGGCCTTGTATTCGAATCTTCTTTCACATAGTTTAATGTAAAGTATCCTATCATTTGTGTAATAAAAAAATTAATTAATTAGAAATTTGTAATGGTATAACTTTTTTGAGAAAAAAGAATGTTTTATTTTAAATTAGTATATGCCCATGCCCACAAGCAAAGTGTGTGAAATGTCTTATCTTTGTTTTTAAAATTGAAGAAAATATGAAGAGAGTAAGAGAGAACGTGGGAATGGAGAGAGAGTGGAGAGAAATTATAAAATGGTAGTGTAGTACCACGTGGCAAGGCCAAATGATAGTACTTATTAATCATATTAAGACACGTGGAATTGTGAATTGAATAATCAGTTAATAATTTATTAATAATGCGTTTAACTCTTCACCGCCTCAACTTCGTCGGTTGTCTTCTGTCTCCTCCCACAAGACAATTCCTTGAAGCAAAGCTCCAGACTTTCATTGAAGAAAAGCCCCAGACCTTGAAGGTTGCTGCAAATCTACAACTTTCAATCCTCCCACTATTTTTCAACTGCCAAAAAAATCTGAAAAATGTTTCAATTTTCCAAACCTTCAAGATTGGTACAAATCCAAAAATACAATTTTTCATCCTTTCACTAATTTTCAGCTGCAAAGAATCTGAAAAGTGTTTCAAGTTTCATCTTTTAATTTCTTGTTTTCATTGTTTCGTGTTTTTCTTTCTAAACTGTCGCCGAGGGGAACCGAGAAGAGTTTGACGAAAGTGAGCGAAGAGTTCAAATAAAAAAAAGTTTTAGTCCTCACCGTCGGTTCTATGGTGAACAGTCGGGATTAAGTGGTCCAGAGGGTCCATATGAAATTTGTCCGGAGAGGATCTAATTCCGTCGGCCGGTCATTAAAAATATGCAATATTTGGTGAACGTTTTAAACCCAACTCATTTCGGACAGGGACCTCCATGATTCAAAAGTCCCATTTAAATTTTGATCAGTAGTCATTCACCGGTAGAACGCACGGATGACGAGGTTCTGCTACAGAAAGAAGGCAAGGAGGAGATGGACGAAGAAGAAAGAGATGAAGTTAAAGATTTCTTGATGAACAGAAAGAAGCGGGAAGCAGCCGGAGAGGTTTCAGATTTATTGATAGTTAATGAAATAAATAAAAAAATTATAAATATTTATATTATCTCACAATTACACGTGTCTTAATCTGATTAGTAAGTCCTTGCCGCATGGTACTACAGTACCACTCTATAATTTATCGAGAGAGGGAGGGTGGTTTAGTTTTATTCTTTATTTTTTAAGAGATGTTAAAATCACCTACACGTGATATTTAAACAAAAAGCAGCAAGATTTTGTTTTGTGAAATTATGTTATTATTTTTAATTTTTTGTTGTAATAGAAGATTAAATAGTTTTTTCATCATTTTTTATTGATAGAAAAATTTCTATTAATACGTAACTTGGATTATGGTAGTATTATTGTTAAAATGTTATAAAACGATATGATGGGAAATATAATTTCTTTAGACTAACTCCATTGGAGAGTTGCCAAATGCAAAACTCGGCACACAAAAGACAAATTAGGTTGCCAAACTGTTTTTCTCCTCCCGTGTAGAGCTAAAATTTAGAGTTTTGATGGAGAGTAATTTCACTTCAAAAGTCTTTACTTGAAGAACATGAAACTAACTTTTCTTTTAATATTTTATTTTCAGGAAAAAAACGTATATATTGTTTTGAAAACAATATGGAGAAATCAACAACTGCTGCTATATTATTGGTCTTTTACATTTTTGTCTTGTGTCCTCAACCAGGGATTCATTCACTTGCTCCTCCATCTGACGTTCGTGGTACTAAATATATTTTGAAAGTCCCATTGATTCTTCGAAGTAACTTACGTGAAAAATAATTTAATAACAAATAATTCTCTATAAACTTTTTCCCTCTTCTCTTCATTCTTATAATGCAGATTTTAGCTACTTGAAATTTGTACGTAACGCAACTGATCTACCATTACAAGAAGAATATGACTACATTGTAGTTGGAGGAGGCACGGCAGGGTGCCCATTGGCAACAACTTTATCTGCAAACTACTCGGTGCTCCTTCTAGAAAGGGGCGATATTCCAACAACATATCCAAGTGTGTCGACTGTCGAAGGGATTCTTGAAAATTTCATGCTAGAAGATGACGGTACGACGCCGCTCCAGAGGTTCGTATCAGAAGATGGTGTAGCTAATGTAAGAGGACGTATCCTAGGCGGGACAAGTATGGTCAGTGGTGGTGCATACTCAAGAGCCGACAGTGAATTCTACAAGAAATCAGGAATTAAATTGGACATGAACTTAGTCAATAAGTCATATGAATGGGTTGAAGACACTATCGTATTCCGTCCGAATGTATCACAGTGGCAATCTGTTGTGAAAGATGCATTGTTAGAAGCTGGTGTTCGTCCAGACAATGGATTCACTTTGGATAGCGTTGAGGGAACTAAAATCTCGGGTGCGTTGTTTGATAATCGTGGAAGAAGATATGGAGCTGTGGAACTGCTAAATAAAGGACATCCGAAAAACCTGAGAGTTGCAATTCATGCCACTGTAGAGAGGATCATTTTCTCTTCCAAAGCATCAGGTATGCTAACGTTCGATATATACAATTAAAGGCCATTGAGATTTCCATCCTTGGATAACATGAGTTAAGGTTTTTTATTTTTTTCATTAAACCACTTTAGATTGGATTTTGATTGAACTCTGATTTTGATCTTGTATATATGTTCCAAAAATCAAAAATCAAATCTATCATATCACAGTGGTGGAGGGGAGTGTTGCCTTTGTACTATGGCGTGGGTTCATAACCCATCGGCTCTCTAATCTAACATCTAATTTAACAAATATATCGTTTTACAATAAAAAAAATCTATCATGGAGTTAAAAAGAAGCATATTTGAGGGATTTGAATCTATTCTATATACTTAATTGTAAACTAAATATATGTCCAATTCTGATAACAATTTAATGCAGATCCGTCAGCTAAAGGAATCATATACAATGACTCAAACGGGAGGTCTCACTGGGCATCGATACGTGGTAAGGGTGAGGTTATATTGAGTGCAGGGGCAATTGGGAGTCCTCAGCTTCTACTACTTAGTGGTGTTGGCCCAAAGTCCTACCTTACATCTCTTAAAATCCCAGTTGTTCACCCACAACCTTACGTTGGAAAGTTTATGCGTGACAATCCTCGTAGTAACATTATCATTTTGCCCCCATCTCCAATAGTACCTACTTATTCTCAGATTGCTGGTTTCACAAGTGATTTCGATATAGAGTCTATCTCTGGCACGCCATATTCTAGTCAGGCCTATAGTATTTTCCCTAATCCAACTATTCCCGTGACGATAAATTCAAGTTTCGGGTTCTTTATGGTCAAAGTTAGAGGACCCATATTGTCCCATGGTTCTCTTAAACTGCAATCATCGTATGATGCCAAAGTAGCCCCAAATGTCAAATTCAACTACTTTGCAAAAGAGGGGGACCTTTCTCAATGTGTTAGTGCCATGGGGAAGATGCGTGATCTATTAAAAACAAACGCATTGAAACCGTTTAAGACTCGAGATTTGCCAGGTCTAGAAGGTTTTAACCTTTTTAAACCATCTTTACCAATGAACCAGTCGGATGATGCATCTTTTTGTCGAGATACGGTAGCCACACATTGGCATTACCATGGTGGATGCTCCGCCGGAAAGGTAGTTGATGGAGATCTCCGGGTCACGGGGATCAAGGCATTACGTGTTGTTGATGGATCTATATTCAATTCATCACCAGGGACCAATCCTCAGGCCACTCTTATGATGTTAGGCAGGTATGCATGTTAAGTGCATTCAAATAAAACCACATGGACATTACCTGTACATAATACAACTACTTTAGTTTTCAATATTTAACTAAATCATAGTAACTAAATCCTTAGTTTGGACGTGAATAATAAGAATATATTGTTGTTGTTTTCCCACTCCAAATTTTGTTCTTTGGGCAGGTATGTTGGCCTTCGAATACTGGAAGAAAGATCAGCTAGCAAGGGGCGTTGATCATAATTCAACATTTCAACCGTATATTGGATATCTTTGATATCAGAATGACACGTTTCTTTAAGATTTTGATTAATTTCTCATGTAATAGGTTGAAGATTATTCAACAATGTTTAGTGTTATGGCCAATTTGGCATGTAATAAGTTGAAGACTATTCAACAAGGTTTAGTTATGGCCAATTTGGCATGTAATAAGTTGAAGACTATTCAACAAGGTTTAGTGTCATGGTTAAATTGTCACGTAATAAGTTGAAGATTATTCAACAAGGTTTAGTATATATATACATATACTGTTATATGTCTTGAAATTATTGCATTGAACGAAAAGGGGAAAATTTTACAGACTGAGTTTTCTTCCTAGCTAAGTTTCTTTAAGGTTTGCCTCTAAAATGCAACTAAACAATGAAATTGTGTATTCCAAAAAAACCAAAAAACAATGAAATTGTTTACAAACAATATTTGTCAGTTTTTTTCATTTCTGTTAATTTCCCCTAAGTTTTATCAGTTTTTTTCTTCTTTTTAAATTGTTTTCAAACAATACTTGTATCAGTTGACTTCTCGAAGTAATTTTTTTTGGAAGACTTGTCAAATTAATGAGAACAAAGTTTTGGGATTTTAAAGATCCATGATCGCGATCGTTCATAATATGTCGTGCAGTCAGTTTTTATTAGTTACTATTTATATTTAATTTTAAATTTTAAATTTTAAAATAATTTTTAACAGTATAATGTACAATGAACGGTTCCGATCACGAAATGAACGGTTCCGATCACGAGATTCCTAGGATCCCCAAAAAAAGAATCCAAATTTAACTATATACCAATTTAAACAATGCATATATTATTGCCACTTTAAAAAATTCATTCTATACTCTATACTCTATGATGAAAAATCAAATTCCAAATTTCCATCCCAATTTTTCCGAGAAACAAGCTTTCATTCTCTTTCCAGGAAGGCAAAGAAGCCGAAAAAGCAGAGCATCGCCGCTGCGTCGGCGGTGGGTATGGTGGCGTCTCTACTCGACTTCAACGCCAGTCCGAGTCTTTCATCACAGAGCTTTGAGCCACCATTTCCATGGCCGACGGCAAAGTCTATCGCATATGGATTCTTCTTGTCCGTCAATGGCAAACCCGTCTGTAAGCAGATGACGTCTTCAATTTTTTTTCTTCGAACCCCGATGTGCCCGCATCCCGCCCCAGATCCGTCAATCTCCATCCCAAAAGCCAAAAAAATGAAAACGTATCATAATTTTCCACACTCAGTACAGAAACAGAGAATTCCTACCCAATTTCTCTCATTTTCCCTCTAAGCAAACACACCCAATTTTCTTCCCAGACAACATGCAGAGCCTAAACCACCCGTTCCACTTCAAATTCTCAAAAACCCAGCTAAATCCATAAACCAAAAGCTAAAAGAAATAAAAAAATTCTTACTGAGGAAGACGCTGAGGTTAGGGTGGGGCTCTGCATTTGCAGTAGGTTGGGTGGAAATGGCGGTGAAGCAGATTTGGGGGTTTTTTTTTTTTTCATTTTCTATTTTTAAGCTTTTAATTATTAAAAAAAAAACCTAATTTTTTTAATTAAATATTTTTTAATAATGGTTTGGCCATGTGACCCAAGTTTAGTAGTCACGTGTACAAATACGGAAATCATTATTACCATATCATTACTTAACGGTTAACTTAATAGATTTTTATAACATTGAAATAAAATAAAAGTAAATGTATGAGATTAAAATATTCGAAAGTTGTTGTATGAGATTGTAATTGCACTCAAACTTGAGGATGCCAAATGTAATTTACCCTAAAACAATTTACATTTAAAGTTTAAGTTGGGTGTAGAGTAAAATTATATGGGTTCAAATAAATGTTTCCTGAAAACAATTGTTGGAATGCATGCAAGTCATATCTTTTGTTAAAATGCATGCATGAAATAAACATGTTGGATGACTAGTGAAGTTAGGCTAGTCAACCTTCTTTGTGTAAATTAGGCAAGTTAGGCAAGTTAGGAAATTAGGCAAGTTAGGCAAGTTAGGCAAGTTAGGCTTATGTTCTTTTTCTTTTCCTATATAATGTTTCATCTTGTAATTGTTTTGATATGAAATACACATAAAAAATTCAACAACAATTCACATTTAAAAGTTGTTAGGTGTAGTGTGAAATTATATGAGTTCAAATAAATATTTCCATAAAACAATTCATATTTAAAGTTTAATTTGGGAGTAAGGTAAAATTATAGGAGTTCAAATAAATTTGTCCTAAATCTACAGATAGAGGGCATTAATGTTATAAGCTCAATGTACATTAATGTTATCTTATTCTATTCGATTGTTCATATACAAATGATTGTGCACGAATTTAATGCACATTAATGTTATCTTATTCTATTCGATTGTTCATATACAAATGATTGTGCGCGAATTTAATTCTAACAATTAATAGTTTATTGAGAAATGAATTCACATGCTTCCTTGAACAATCACCGTACCATGGACGACAAACAGTGACGTTGAGAGAAGAACTATTTTCTGCTGCTAACAAATAAGGACAAGTTGTCTGTCCTCCCACTTTTCATGTCCTCTCGTGCCCTCTTATTTGTGTGGTCACGGTTAAGCCATATCAACATTTTATATTATTATTTATTTTTGTCTTATTATCTCTATAAAAAAAATAATATAAAATGTTGACGTGACTTAACCGTAACCACACAAAACAGGAGGACACGGGAAAGCATCGGAAGTGGGAGGGCAGACAATCCTTGTCCAACAAATAAAGGCTACCAATGCTGTCATCCCTGTACGAACACTTAACGTCGCTAATCATTTATGCGCCACATGCTGTCTGATATGAAAGGAGTGACGAAGAAATTCTTAGGGTTGTTCATAATGGAAAATGAATCATTTGCGGATCTCTTCTTTCTAATACATTAAATCAGGGGACTATTAAAATTTAATTCAATGATTACAAATAGGAGCTCACTTTAAAAGTTATAATAAATTTAGCCGTTGAATCAAATTTTAATAGTCTGAATTTCCTGATTTGATGAATTGGAAGGAAGAGATCTGGAGATAGTCTTTTTCCATCATAATGTTTAAAGTTATTCCCAAATAAAGCTCGTGAATAACCATGAAGTATTATGATTCGTACAAAGTTAAAAGGGAAGTCCTGCTTTCTTTTATCATTGGCGTATGAGTCTATTTGATTATTTAATTAGTTGTTCCAAACAATTTCTTTGTCTAATGTCGAAAGTTTGAAATAATTTAATCCCAAAAGGAGTTCGGACAGGTACACGTGGACCCACTCCAACTCACTCCAATTCTTAAAATAAAACTCAAATTTTATATTCTAAACTTATTTCAATTTGCTCTTACTCTTGGAACAATTATAAATTTTAACTCATAACTCATTTCTATGGCAAATTTAGGCCATTATTTCATCTGGGTTAGTGGGGCTGACCCATCATATATGTATATTTCTTTTAATTTTATATTTATAAATTAATTGAATCCAACGGTTGAGATCTAATATGATTAAATATGTTTGTACCATACTTAACCAATCCCGAAACTACGGAGCATCGGTCAACGTTATGCCGTCAAGGACCCTTAAGAGTTTTCCTCCAACCAGGAGGCCAATTATAGCGCGACACGTGTCGATATCAGAAGCCAATCATAGCGCGACATGTGTCAACATCAAAAGCCAATCACAACACGACACGTGTTAATGTTATAATGAAACTAGAAACTCTCTTCTATAAATAGAGATCATTCTCTCACAATATTTTCTAATGTCATTTGTACTAAATCATTCACTTGTACTCACTAAAGGAGAGCTTGAACCTTTGTACTTGTGTAAACCCTTCACAATTAATGAGAACTCCTCTACTCCGTGGATGTAGCCAATCTGGGTGAACCATATACATCTTGTGTTTGCTTCCTTGTCTCTATCCATTTACATACATATCCACACTAGTGACCGGAGCAATCTAGCGAAGGTTATAAACTTAACATTTTCTGTTGTATCAAAGTCCCCACTGATTTTGTGCATCAATATTTGGCGCCGTCTGTGGGAACGACACTTATTCCCACTCTCTTCAGCTTTGTCAATCTGGTTTCTACCATTTGTACACTCTCTTTTGACCAGGCATCCCTCTCCAACATGGGGAGCAAATGAAGCCACAGCACACAGAATGACACCCATCTTGCACCTAGTGCGAAGCAACGAAAGAAGGAAGGAAAGAGAGTTGCTCTTCAAGTTAAAGTCGATGAGCTAGAAGCTCAAAACAACAAGATAGCAATGAGGAATAAGGTCATCCAGGAGCAGTATGAGAAGCTCTTTGAGACGCTCACGAAACTATGCGTACTCAAACACGCGAGCTTGTTGCCCCTGTGGACATCAACCATCATCTGGGTGCCCCCCAACACAGAGGGTCACCTTCCTTCGACATGGGTATCACTGATGATGAGCGAGCTAATCATTAAAACATTGATCAACATGAGACTTCTCTCAACCCAATTGATTCGACCCGAAGCAGGAGAAGTGGAGGACGACACCTCCTTGCAGAAGGGTTGGAATGATCAAAAGCCGTTTATCGTGACTGCCGAGACTTCCTAAAGCAACGTCGAGAGAATCCCCTCCACATATGCTCGAAGATCAATGACCCAAGGGTTTCTGAAAGACTTGGTCCCCTCCCACGACCCAGGCCAGCTACCAATCTAGGGAAGGAACGACATGTCCTAGAGGAACATGAAGGTACAGGGGACTCTGAGGTATTCCAAAAAACTCGCCCTAGAAGTCAGTACGGCGAGTCCAAGGAAAAATCACACGCCCTTACTCAAACTTTCTACTTCCAAGAGGCGATGGAGACTTACGAAAGAAAATCTCAGTGGTACATGACTCCACTCAAGACCCTTTTGTCCTACAGCTCATTGAGGAAGTAAACAAGTTGAAGGCCGAACGTCAGGCCTAGATATCTGACTGGAATCAACCCAGGACTGGCCCTCTCACAAAGAGGATCTTTGACACCCCCTTTCAAGCGAAGACAAAACAAAAGCTTGGTTTACAACTCTATACTGGAAGGGATGACCCAATTGAACACCTTAACCTCTTTAAGTCCACTATGGCATATCAAATGCACACCAACGAAGAACGATGTCTTCTCTTCCCCCTCCACACTCTCTGGCGGAGCTCTAAACTGGTATTGCCGTTTTCCACCTGAGACAGTAGACTCATTTGAGGAACTGAGGAAACTGTTTGTCTCTCAACACATCTTCCAGACCAATCGCTTGCATTCTGCAGATGACTTGTACAGTATTCGCCAGAAGCCGGACGAGTTACTACGAGA